CCTGAAGCATTTAATATATGTAAAAATATATTGTTTTAAAATGGTATGCCATATAGCTTCTTGAATTTGTTAAGAAGTATTTGAACGTATTTTCCATCTGTATCTCTAGTGTTTACATAAGCATAGCCTGCCTTAGTAAAATATACTTGTAATTTCCTATAGTTTACGCCGGTATAAAAGTAGAAAGAGTCTTGTTCTTCGCTATAGTAGTAAAACTCCAACGTATGCTTGCCATAGTCTGTAATTTCAATTGTTTCATCTTCTAGTTCGTCGACAAATTCGAATACAATATCTCCAAATTTGCCTTTGTTCTTATTGTTTTCAGAACGAGTGACCCAACGTAAGTTTTCAAGTCTATTGTCGTTTCTTATATGGTTTATATGGTCTACAAAAGGTAAATTGTTAGGATTCAGTATAAAATGAGTTGCAATGACAACATGTTTAAGATAGTGTTTTCCACCCATCTTCATAATAGCATATCCGTCATTTCGCTCCCATTCGCTTAAAACTCTTTTTGTCTTTTTGTTTCTGACTTCAAATGACTCACAACAGTGATTTCATATTTCTCATCTAACAAACAAGTTTCCCAACGGTCTGCTCCAACAAACTCAGCGTACATTTCAAATAAAATAAAAAAATGTCACTTTTTAAAAAATAAATTTTTTATTTCATGCAATGTTTTATTTCTGTGCCGTCTTCAAGTATGCCCCAATATTTCCTTTTCGATATTACATGAACTTCGGAAAATACCTTATCTAGCTTAAAACAGCCCATCTTTTCACCGACTAAACCCATTTCAATGAGTTTGTGTACCTTCTTCGTTCGTCATGAGTGCGTCAATGTTCTCATAGTAAACCACAACTTTCGATTTGACTTCGGAGAAGAATTTGTTGTAGTTGTCAAGGACTGCCTTTGCGAACTGAGGGTAAGACCAATGTTCGACAATAGGTTTTAATGTGGTTACTAAGCCACTTTGACCTTGAGTGAATTCGTACTTCAAAACAAAAGGAGAAAACCTTTCAACAAAGTTGTCGACCTTCTCATAATGTTTACTCTTCATCTCTTGAGGTTTCTTAATGGAATATCCCCATGTCGAATTCATAAGCAATTTGAGTGCCATTGCAAGTTTGGGTTTGAAGCTTTCCTAATATCATACAGTTGTTGTATGACTTTTCCAACTGTATAGTTCCTTCCCGGGAACTCACCATCTTCGTTTGGAATTCCAGTCGGAATATATTGGACAAACCTCATGTACGCAGCGTTAAGGTCGACATAGTATATCTTTTCGTTTGAGTCGAACTTGTCGCAACCAATTGGTCCATTTGTGGAAATTCAAGTGAGTCTCTTATCTTCTGAGAAACTTCTCCTGTTATCTCATAAACATCGTCGAAGCAACCTGTTTCATATAAAACCTTCTGACCTAACTCAGATGCTCTCCAATACAATTTGACGTCAATTGGATGTCTCAATGGAAGTTTGTTTATAGCATCTTGAAGTTCTTGCAACCTCATTGGAAGTTCTTCTGGTTCAGTTGGTATCCGAACATACCAACCCCTTGTGGAACCGTGTACTTCTTTTGTACTAGAACTTTGTCTGGAACAACTTTTGGTCTTGCTAACAATGAAAAGTTTGTTTCGTCTTTTGGTACAAAAGTTTCTGTCAGCTTGTCATCTGGAATTGGTTCCAACAAACCTTTCTCGAAAAGAATGTTTACAGCTCTGACAATGTTGCACTTGCCTTTTCCGAACAATGGGTTTGTAAGACTTTCGTTCAACATGAAGTGGTTGTGGACAATTACAATCTTCAACCATGGTAAATTGAACTCAACAACATAGTCGTCATGTGAAGAACCTTTAGCTGTAGGTATGTTGGACTCGGATATTGACATTTGCCAACGGTGCAATTTTTGCCAATTGACCTCTGAGAATGTACCTTGTCTTCAACACATGACTCAAGATACTTCATCTTCTCATCTGTAACAAGACCAGAGTTCCTGAGACATGTAAGCAATGCCAAGGTTCGTTGACAATTGTTTCAATTGAATTGTAAATTCCATACCTTGTCAAGTCAATGTCAGACTTATTTATGAACGGGAAGTATCCAGCATGTTGTCTGACTGCTTGAAGGGTTAGGTTGGTACCATTCGAACTTGACACTTGCAATTCCTTCAATTGCATTCAAAATTGTCTGAGTCGGAGTCAACCATTTGTTCTCTCTTTGTAGTCTTGAAAGCGTCAAGAAGTTTTGCGGCTGTTTGTTCATTGCCATGTGCATAGTAAATGTGACCATCCAAATCTGTTATGGTCAATCTGAGATTGTGTCCTTTCTTATTTCCGTCTTGTATGGCAGCAAGTACTCCCATGAAGCCTTCTTTGTTCTTTCCTTCGTCAAAGTTTACTGTAAAGGTTCGACCAGATGTAATTTGACTTCTAACTTCACGATACTTTCATATGCATATCTTGTTCTTTCCATGGGAGCATGTGCGTCTTCACCTTTTCCTTTTTTCCTTCTCAAAAGGATGCAATTGTTCGTCATGTTTCCAGTAGAATCTGGCAAAGCCGTCGTGTCCTTCAACTTGAGGTTCACTAACATCGAAAGGCATGTTCATAAGACGTTCTTCTTCTAACCTCTCTAGTCTGTTTGGATAATTGGCACGTGCTGTTTCCAAATCCATTTCGTAGCGAAGACCAGACAATTTGTCATAGACTTTTATGGGTCTTCCCTTCCTATATTTAAAATTCTTCGAAACTCTCCAACCATATCTTTGTAACTCTGCTTTTATTCTAGCAGACTTTCTATCCATTCTATATGGGGGCATTTTTATAAAAAGAAAAAAAAATATTTTTTTCTTTACTTAACATAACTGCCTGCTGCCATAAGTCTTTGACGCCAACCCATACCAGCTAATGAAGGTTGACTTGGTTTAGTTTGGAAACTAAACTTTGGTTTTGGTTTATCTTCAGTTTTTGGTTTTTCTTCTTCTATCGGTTTTTCGTCACTTTTCGGTTTCTCTGACTTTACTCACCTGCAGGAACAGTTGTGTCGTCAACATCTTCATAAATATCATATGCCATTTGTTTTTGTTTTCCTTTCAACTTTTTGTGTTTGTTGTAAAGTTTAGAATATTTCGACTCTAAGTCAATGAGATGTTCTATAATGAACTGTTGGTCAGTGAAGTAAACTTTTCCATCTGTTGTCTCGAAAGCTCCTTCAGACTTCAATATTTTATTTGTGAGAGTCTGTTTCTTTTTTGAGATACTAGCCGTTCCATTTTTATGAAAAGTGACTTTTATAGTTAGGGTTTGTATTTCCAGACCTGGCACTTTCTATTATTGAATTTTTCTCTTCATCTGTAAGTTCTTTGACAGGTTTTTGACAATGGTTCTGAACTTTTTGTTTGTGGTGTCAAATCTACCGTTTCAACTTCTTCGGTCATTTCATCTCAGTAAAAAAATTTAGTTTGGTTTGTTTTCAACTGGTTGTTTAGGTTTTTTAAGTCGGTCTAAAACTTCCTGAGGTATAGGAAGAACTTGACAAACACGTTGTGTAACTGCTGGAAGCCGACAAATCCATCTTGAACTCATTTGTCTCAATGCTGCATTGTTCATTTCATCTCAGTAAAAAATTTTACATTCCCCAAGTTTGAGGCGGTTGAGGTTGGTTATTGTTTACCCACTGTTGTGCATGGTTATATCCTCTGTTAAAGAATCTTTCACCTTGGTCCATATAGTGTCCTGCTTGGTTATAGTAGTCATTTGCTTTGTTATAATAGTTTCCTGCTTGTCTTCCTACATTGTCCATCCATCCTTGAACTTTTCCTCTTGTTTCAGGATTTGGAATAAGATTTGTTGCATCTCGTGCTACATCCCAACCTTTCTGTACAGTTTGTATAATAGGTTGTGCTTTCTCTTTAAGTATACCTAATGTACTCAAAATCTTCCTTCCAACTCCAAATACACCTCTGGCTATTGTTCCCACTGCGGGTAAAAATCTAGATGCTACTCCTGCTAATGCGCCAAATAAACCCATTTCTTATAGGGTAAAAATGACGAATCCAAACAAGGACCCCTATGTTTCTAAAGCGACAAAGAAAGCACTCATGATAAAAATCTTTAGTTCAACACCAAATGCTTGGTTTATGGATATCTTGGAAAACATTCCGAGAGTTAGAACAGATGGACCTCCATACTGGTTAATATTTGTTGGTCAAAACACAAGATACTGTGAAGCCATACCATTATGGTCCAAAAATATTTTAGATGTGAAAACTGCTTTGACAATATTCGTTGACAAATACCATCCAACAAAACTAACATCTGACTGTGAAAGTTCTTTCAAATCAGATGATATTAAAAACTATCTGCGTTCAAAAAATGTAAACCAATATTTCATTGTCGACCAAAACCATTCTGCTCTTGGTGTCATTGACGGTTGTATAAAAATGTTAAGAGACTTAAACCAACCACAAGGTGGTGAAGCAAATGAAATGTCATATGACGACAAATATAGACACTTCTCCATGGCAAAGATGAGACAAGTTTTAAATATTTACAATAACCGTAAACAAAAAGGTTTGGGAAACCACTCCCCCGAAGAAATGAAAAACAACCCTGACTTAGAGAAAGACTATATATTAATAATTTAGTCAAAAGAGACAAACAAGAAAGAATGCCGGGCTTCAAACTTCAGAAAGGTGACAAAGTAAAAATAGAAATACCTAAACGCGACCCATATGAAAATACTATTGACTATGACAACAATGGGAACCCGACAGGTACTCACATTCGTGTTCGTAAAAATAGAAGAAAGTATACAAGAGAATATTATGAAGTTTTAGGCAAACATGGCAAAATGTACACACTGCAAGCAGAAGATAAAACTACTATTGTCAGACCTCGTTTCAAACTTGTCAAAGTTCAAGGTGGTATACTTTCAAAGACAGTTCCTAACAAATATAAGACAACTCCTGACGAATATGCTAAAGAAGTTGAAAATGACGACTAAGCAATTCTATACCATGCGTAAACTGTCATGTAAGGTGGCATATATTCTTTACTTTGTCCCGTTGTTTGCGTATATCCTGAAACGTGATGTGTATGGTTTCCTCCTCCCTCAGTGTTACTCCAGTAACAATTTATAGCAAACTTAACGTTGTCTTTAACATCATATCCTTTACCTTTTGTCATTGCTGACCAATCCCAATATCTATGCTTATGCCAACCTGCTTGAGATGTACTTAAATCTATGTAGTGACTGTGTGCAGGTAAATTTTCACCTGTAATCGTTTTACTTCCACCTGTTTCCTTTGAAGAGTTTGCACAATACAAAAACCTGTCGACTATTTGAGTCCAAGTTCCAAAACCAAGTACTACTTCTGGTCTGGTAGAGTTCATTGAAACATATAATGAGCCAACCGGGTAAATAAGATTCGGCAAAATTTGTTTAAGCACATTGAGTTCCTGTCTTAGATGCATAATACTATTGTCATTAGATATCAAAGTATCTACAAGACTTGTTGCCGGTGGTATTGTTGGACCTTTATTTGGCAAGGTTGTGTTTAGTGTAATATCATCTGCTGTAAAAGTTGTAAAACTTGTATGTGTATGAGTCTTATCTGCTTTCTTCTCTAACTCATCGTTAACATAAGTTTTATCTGCTTTAAGGTCTAAACATCCTGAAACCCATCCTGTATCAGCTTTAGTTTTTAAAATCTTTGATGTCCATTCATGATACCATTCAACCCTTTCTTTAATTTCATTATCTTTTTCATCCACATATTCCTTATCCGCTTTCTTCTCTAACTTACTAGCCACATATTCCTTATCCGCTTTCTTTTCAAGGCTAACGTTTAAGTCTGTTATTTCAGATATGGAATGTGTATGTCCAACGGCACTTTTCCTGTTTAAGGTTTCTTGTAAGTTTGTAATATTTGCAATGGTATGTGTATGAGTCTTTTTAGAATATTCGTTTTCAGCTCTTGTCACTTCACTTGACATTTTATTGTCAACATATGTTTTGTCTGCTAGTTCAGGATGAGTATGTTCTTTTGTTGCATAAGCATTGTTAGCTCTTTCTTCTTCTTTTGCTATTGCATCGTCTACATATTCTTTGTCAGCTTTGTTGTCAACATCTGCTTTCAAAAGAAGTTCATTTATAGGTTTCTCGTTTAAAGTTCCTTTTGTTGGATTTATACAGACAGTATGGTTCTTATTGTCTTGAAACAGAAACTCATCTGTCATTGGGTTTAATGTCAGTTTTAAGTTTCCTTCTTTCAATGACTCAGATATCTTAGAATAGTTTGAAAAGTTTGTTGTGTTCTTATTTAGAGCTTGCATAATGAGTTGTCGGTTGTGTTGTATTTCTCTCATAGACGCTGTTTCATTTGACATTTTTATTATAGATAAAATATGCTTCCAATAGAAAAAGAAAATTCTAGAGTTGCTACAACTAAACCATTAGATGAACTTTTTACTAATGTCGGTCAAAAGTTTGAGACAGATACCGTAAAGCATGAAGGCTATCGTTTTGACTACCCATTAAGATGGCTAAGAGACCCATCTGTCACAAAAGCTATTGGCTTTCGTAGAATGAAGTTCATTTCAGAAGCCATACATGGTTTCCCATTTACAGTCGGTTTTGAAGTTCGATACTATAACAAAGAAAAACGTATGTATGAGAAATTTGAACAGGGAAAACTTTTACAAGTTAGTTTGCTTATAAATTTAGAAACAACTCTTCAAGCTTTTCAAGAAAAAATAAACGATATCTATATCGAATATGCAAACCAGTATAACATTGACGAAGGAGAATACCATCTCGATATTATTTATGACAGGAAAAATGCAACTGTTAAAATCAATAAAATAGAAGACCTTGGAGAAAACGTTTATATTTCTACAAAATATAACAACTTGGCATGGTATAGATTTATGAGGATGTTAAATCAGCCTGCAGCATATCCAGTACACCCGGACTATTATGAAGTCGAAAAACCTAATGGAACATATGAAAATGTTTTCGACCAAGATGCTATTATTGTTCATGCTTCATTTTCTGGCGCCCAAAACTCTTTCTTATGCTTGGCAAATGACTTTTACGAAAAACCTACAAAGTTATACGAACCACCAAGTGGAAGTATTTCAGACTTTCAAGTATGGTTTACTACAGATGGAAGAAAAAGAATAATTCCATTATACCATGCGTTTTACTTAGAACTTAGTTTCATATACAACTACTATCGAACGATAAAAATATAATTTTTTAATACGGTTGAGGTGTTGGATTTGGTTGCCAACTAGACTGTGGTGCAGGTTCAGGCTGTTGTATAACAGGAGCTTGTTCTTCTGGTTCAGGGTCTTTAGGTATAATACCAACAAACTGACCTACTCTTTTACCAATATTTTTGACACCGTTCCATACTCCTCTTCCGACAGATTTTATTCCATTCCATATACCTCTTCCAACATTTCGAAAGAAGTTTCCTATCTTACTGAAGAAACCCATTTTACTATATGTAAAAATCTAATGTCCGCCTAGTCTCTTACGTTTCCTGTTGAGTTCCATAGCATTCTTTAACTGGAGCTCATACATTCTGTTTCTCCTCTGGTAGAAAACATATTCTGGGTCAACTCCTGTGTTCGCGTCATCTGCATAAAGTTGTTTATATCCCACTTCAGGGTTTGTATAAAACTCTTTCCATCTCATATTTGCATACCATGGTGGCAAACCTAACGCAGCGTCATTTGACATGGCAGTTTGCATTTGTACATCTGTTGGCACTTGACCATAGTTTGCCATTGCAGTTTGTATTCTAACTTCATTTGGAATATTCTCTGGGTTTGGTTGTCCAGGTTGCTGTGCATTCGCTAAGTTCTGTGCGTCCATTTAATATTAGATAAAAATATCTCTTACGAGTACATATACTGAACATTTGCAGGCATTGGTTCATCTTCATATTCTCTGTACTTTTCTGCCACGTCAAATAAATAAATGACACAATGGAAAAAACCTAAAACAAGTAGTCCTATTTCAAACCACATTTACTTACTAATAAAATTTCTTTATTGTGACACTTTCTCCAGTTTATAGGACCTCTCTCATATTCTATCTTGTCATATATAAACTCATAGTCATGTATGTCCTCTAACCATCTCATAACGGTTTCCAAACCACTTTTATCGGATGTAAAGTAAAAGCATGGATGGTTATGTATAACGTCTAAAGTTTCTAAAGAGTCTCTCAAAGTCCAGTCTACTTGGTATTGAAAATCCCATGTGTTATAGAACGGCGGGTCCACTATAAAGAAAACATTTTCCTTGTCTTTATATTTTTCATACAACTCTGTCCAACGACATCTCACAAACTCTATACCCTCAATATATTTTTCTATGTCCTCTTTGAAAACATTTGTATAGTTAAGATATAAAACTTTTGACATAAGTGTTTCAATGTCATGAACTCTTATAGCACCACTATATAATAGTCTAGCAGATATACTATCCCAGTCTATATATTCTGCTTTTTTCAAAACCTCTCTCACAATATTTTTCTTATCTAATGGTATACGTTCCATCTTACCTATAGGTATCTTTTCTTTTAACGCTTTCAATATATTGTTTGTGTCTGGAATATGTTTGAGACGGTCCATATAGTTGTCGAAGTCATTGCATATAATCTTTGAGTCTGGGAATATTGTATGACATAAATGGGATATATAGAAACTTCCACCGAACAAATCTACAAATGTTAGACCATTCGGTAGTTTCTTAAGTTCTCTCAATATAATATCTTTACATCTACTCTTATTTCCAAAGAACGGTAACGGTGGTTTTGTAAAATTCATTTATATATAATAATAAAAATGTTTTTACCCGAAAAGTGACAGAAAAGTGACAAAGCATGAAAACATATATAATTTGTGAAAAGTGAAACAAAAAGTGACATATTAAAAAGTGACATCATTAATATGATGTAAATAACAACGGTTTTGGTTTTGTCACCGGCTGGTCGGCTGGGGTTCGGTCCTCCTCTTGGGTCTTGGGCAAAATTTCTTAGGGGCTAGAGGGCGCAACGCGCCTGGAAGCCCCACTTACCTAACCTTAAACTAATATTTTTCATTGATAAATATATTATTTTCTAATGTTTTATAGAAAACAAATGTTCGTTTAGAAAACTTTAAGTAAGTTTCTATCTCAAGGTATTCTAAAAAAAATAAAGAAAAAGAAGCTTCAAACAGAATATTTTTATTTAATATTTCCATGAATCACTTGACTCGCTAACATTATTTCCATTATTAAGAGGATTTGGTGATCGACTTGAACTTTCACTTTCAGAATCACTTCTGACTCTAGGGTCATAATATTTCTTATATAGTAAAACTAGACCGGCCACAATGCAGGATATAACAATTAATGAAAAGATTGTCCATCCAGCAATTGCACCTGATTTAGTTTTTGCTTCAAATTGATATATTTCATCGTTTCCTAACAAATAAGGAGATTCTATTTCGGAGTTTCCATTCTTCATTGTTGCTGAAAAGTAGAATTCTCTTTCATCAATGTCTTCTGGAGGATTTATAACAAAAACAAAAGAAGAACTTATTGAAAGAATTGTATCTTCCAGTGAACTCTTAATAGGAATTCCATCAGGTGTGAAAATTTCAACATCGCTAATATTTGATACTATGATATCTGAACTTGTATATTTAGAGTTGAATGGCTTGAATATACATGTTTTATTTTCTTTTGTAATGATATGAGTGCATTTTCTATCTGAAGTAGAATAATTATTACAGATTGAAATATCTTGAGATCCTCCAGACACAATCATTTCATTACATTTTCCTTTTAGATAATCAAGTTTGAAGATATTTATTGGTACTTTAATGATTGATTGTTTGTTTGTGACATTTAGACTGAGTTCTGTTTCTTTCTTTGTGATTAATGCTTGCATTTTTAGATCAGTAACATTAATTTTTATGCCATCTGCTTCTGCAATAATGAAATAATCCTCAACTAAAGCAGTTTCGAATGTTATCAAAGAATTTGGACCTACTTTAATAGGATTAATTTCATCCAATATTGGTACTTTTGAATGGTAATTTTCAGGTCTAAGAACAACTTTATCATAATATGAAGTTTCTTTTGTAAATATGTGAAGTATTGAAGGAACAAAGAAATTTCCACTAACAACCGGCCTAATTCTATCAATTTGCTTGGCAATTAGTGCTATTCCAATAAATGAATTTTCACAAACTTCTTGTACAATAACTCTAAATATGACAAAATTAACATCATATAATGCTTTTGAATTCATGATTGTTTCTGGTTCATCATTCATTGTATATGATGAATGAATTTGAATCTTATAATTTTTATTGTTAGCTATCTTTTTGGAAATATATGTTGTAACATTATAATCTTCTGATCCAATGAAAACAATTAAATGAGATTCAGGCAAATATTTGATTCCTGTATCAATCAAATATTGTTTCCTGTTCTGATTGATGATAAAATCTAATGAAGAATCTTTTGTATCAAGCGCAAAAAAAACGAAATCAAGATTTCTATCCTCATCTTTTGCAATAACTTTGAAAGATTCAGTAGATCTAAGTACTTCATTTGGTTTATTAATGTCAGAAAATTTGAAATGATTGTAGTTTAAGAAAGCAACAAAAGTGTTTTTACCAGGAATATTTGGAGTGACCACTGTTGTTTCTGTATCTTTTGATATTTGAACACTGTTTCTTCCAAATTTTGCATTAATTATTGTTTCATGAACAATTTTTTCATCAATTTTAGAATCTATTTTTGTTTCATTTTCAAAAGTGATAGGTCTATTAACTATATCTGAATAGAAGAATCTACCAGACATATATTTAGGTGTTGTGCGAGAGATACCAACAAATCCATAAGGATTTCCTAACCCAATAGTGTATTTAATAATTATAAATTTTTTATCTGTAATTGTAGTAGTTTCATCTTTGATTTCGATTGGTTTTCCTTCCATTGAAAATGAATTATAATACGAGAAAGTATTTAACGGAGAAGTTTTAGGATCTTTGAATAATGTCATTGATATAGCATTATTACCTGAATGAATAATGCAGTAAGTACTGTTTTCTTGTGTATCGGTATTCATTAAATAGAAATTATTGAAATAATTGAAATCGTATTTAATTATGCAATTTTTTTCGAGTAAGAAAACCGAGAATTCTAGATTATATTTGTTAGATAAAACTGATAATTGTTTCGGATTCATTGCACAGTTTGAAATGCTTTTTTTAGAAGATTCATTGATAAATTTTACTGAATGGAAGATGACAAATACGTCATATCGATATGAGCTATCAAATATAATTGTTGTTGCATCATAATTTCTTAAATACACTGAATTGTAACCAGTTCTAGCCCAATAAGTTCCTCTTGATAACAATTTTTTGTTTTTAGATTGTATATCAAGCTCAAAGCTTGGATGATAGTCAGATTCAATCTGGTTAATGGAACTTGATGTAAAACCTATGAATAGTGTAAGCATTGAACTAAAATTTTCAGTAAAAATGAAAAGTCGTAAATTTTTTTCATAAATTTGATGATGAAAGCATTCATAACTTATATTAAATTAAAACAATTTTCAAGTTTTTTAAACCGCGGTTCACTTTGTGGGAAAAATTTGCTTGAATTTTTGATCCAATTAACAAATAAAACAAATTTTAACTATAAATTATATTGGAATCAACTTGTTCAGTTATCAATTAGAGAATTACCGAAAAGAGGGTAATATTCTTTTTATTTCAATGACTCTAATAAGATATGATATCAATTTTGGCAGTCCTTGATTGTAGTTTTAGCCTATTCTTAACTCTCTTATGTAATTGTTGGAATAAAAATTTGTTATTTTCCATTCATGGGTTTTATATATACGGGCTAGGTGAAGACATTGCGGATAGAAGATTAGCAATGTCTGAACCCTCAAAATTTATATTAAAAAGTATGTTATTATATGGAAAAAGTTCGAGATTTCATCATAACAGACTTGTTTTACTTAAACTATATCAATGACGAGACTATAAAATCATTGTACTTTTTTTCAACAATAAGATAAAAAACTTTTTTTACTTAAGAAATAAAGAATTTAATTATTTTTTTCATTCTTCACCTAAACCGAATTTCGCGAGGAACTTCTTTATATCATCCGTATCCTCCTGAGATAAATCATTATCTAATATTCCTGATTTCAACACTTCTTCGAGAATTCCAATTCCGTCGTTTGTGTTCTTCATTGCTGTGAGGATTTCCTGCTGTTCCTCATGTTCATGGACACGAGCTATTCTGTCGTGTGCTATCTGTTCTGCCTTCTGGCGGCAAATTGGGCAAAGATCTGGTTCATCTCCGAGGCATGGCTGATGGAATGTATGTCCGCACTTGAAACATGAGAATGGATAGGAATCTATCTTCTGCTGGCAGCTTCCGCATGTCATTCCGTTCTTAATTCCACGGAAAACTTTGCAATTATTTTGTAAATTGTTTGTTTCAACGTACATCTTTTCGAGAGCTTCATCTTCCTGTTGTAGCTTCTTCATCTTCTCATTTGTCTCGCTCGCGATCCTTTCGAACTCTTTAATTGTGAATTCAGAAATGATATCAAACGTAGCTGTTGATTTGATGCCTTTAAGTATTGGCAATAATTCATTCAACAACATTATGCCATTATCTAATACATGCGATGAGATTTGCTTGGTCACATCGATATCTCCGGATCTGACTGCGAGTTGGAGGCCTTCTGACCATATATTTGGATCATCCTTCTGGTATCTGAGGCAGATATCGTACATCTGTGAAGGTTCGCAGGTATTTAAGATCATTCTGTATTGTTTTCTGATATGGAACATGTATTCCATGGCTTGTGAGAGCTGGCCGTACTTAGCATCGTTTGCCTTGAGATCTACGCCAAGAAGAATCTCTGGGATTGGTGAATTTGGATCTTTTTGAAGAGATTTCTCATATTTGGCCGCTTGTTCTTTGACATTTTCGCATTCTGTGAGAGCAACTCTTACAGAAAGGAAGGCAATCTCTTCATTATATTTCGCCTGTGGGTGTTTGAGCAAGCCAATCGTTTCAGCTGGATTTACGATTATTGATGTTGAAATTAATCGGTTCCAGAGTGTATCGGTGAGGTTCTGTGGGGCCATAGAGAGTACAAGAGTAAGGAATTTGTACTCCATCTTAGGGAATTCGAGGAAGATGTGGAAAATCATCTTTGGAGGGATTGTTTCTGCATCTAAGTTGATAGAACAGAGTCCGGCGATTTTTGTGGTGAAGGAAAGAGCTTCTGTTTCGTCCAAATGAGACAAAATCTTTGCGCCATAATCGCAAATGATTTTAATCTTCGTTTGGAGAACAGGAACTTTGAATATAATGTCTCTGACATCGAGAATCTTGTTATCTTTCTCTTTGATCTGGCAATACATGATGTAATCGCCAAATGCAAGGGCTAACTCTGAAGCTTTAGTGGCATTTCCACTCTCCACGAGAACCTTGATAGCAGGAGCGATGTTAAATTCGATTTCTTCGTCATTCTTCTTGTCATTGATAATTTTATCAACGATATCTAAGAGAGAACTGACTCGGCCGAGCTTTGTATAGCAGTTGAATCTCAGCTGTGTCTGTAATGGCTCTTCAAGTCCCTTATCATGCAGTGCTTCGAGATATTGAACCAATAACTCAGCGTATTGTGGCTCGAGGAACTTGTTGATAACGTAAGAAGGTTCTAAATAGCCAATAGCAAGGATATACTGTTGAATTGCGTCAGCATATGCGTGAGCATTATGACGATCATCACCCAATTGACGATGGATATCTGCAATCTTTGCAGCTCCTATGTGTGCATTTTCTGCAAGCTTAAGAGCGGCTTCGAACTGGCGGTTGTCGCAGAGAGACTTTAATTTCTCTTCTGTAGAGAATTCCGTAAGGGTAGCGATCTTGCAAGTGCTTCCTGATGACTCTTGTGTCATCATGAGTAATATAATTTGGCCCCATTCGTATAAAATGTACTTCGCATCTTTGCCAAACTTAGATCCTCCGTAAGTGCAACGAGTCATTGCATCGTAGACTTTTACAGTCTCGTATTGTGTTGAGAAGGCTAATAAATATGTTCTGTACCACATGATTTTGATTGGATCTACTGGAAGATCGATTGGAATTGTTTCTGAATCGACGCCTTCGAAATTGTAGAAGACTACGTCTTGTCCTCGTGCAACTGCCAACAGTCCTTTGTCGTTTAGGCAGGCGAATTCGGTTGCGACGCCTTTTGTATCGATAACTTTCTTGTAGAAAGCTTTTTTGTTCTGTTTATACGCGTAAATATTTTTATCAGTTGTAATAAATACTGCATTTTCGAACAATAAGCTTGTAGCGTAGTGCAAACTTGTAATTGTTTCATCGATTTTGATTGTTTCGATACATTCGAAAACCATCTTCTTAGATCCAATCCTTGGGACCTGGTAAACATATACAGTATGCTTATCGAATGTTAAAGCGAAATACTCCAGCATGTGAGATGAAGTGATAAATTGAATTTCAGTGCCCGGCTGCTTCTGAATTGATGTTTCTGCGTATGATGTATTTGATTCTGGATCTGCCATGATGACACCAATGCTATCTGTGTAATTAATAAGAGCGATAAGAGCTGGAGTACTTGGAGGTGCAAGTAACTTCATAATTGGTGCATCACAGAACGGAATATCGATAAATGTTGGGTTATTTACATCTTTTAAGATATGTAAGTGACCCATTGAGTCACCAAAAATCAAAGAACCGTGATAAGCGCAAACATCTGTAACTGTATATCCTTGGCCGTCTTCTTCGAACTTAATAGGGTCCTTAGACGGATTTTGGACATTCATAAACTTATACGGAATCCATCCCCTTCGCTGCGACATTTTTATGCGGTTTCTCTCAATTCCCATAAATAAAAAAAATTTTATTTTGGCATCTTTCTCTCAAATTTCATTCTAATCGAATATTTGCCATTATTTACCTATCATAACATGAGTTTTCATATTTCAACTTCATTTATCATTTAAAAAATTCAAGATTTGATTTGAACTCATAATTACAATCATTCCTATTAGCTATTTAGTGATGATATTGTTGATGTATTCATAGTAGAAAAAAAAAAAAAAAAAAAAAAAAAAAAAAAAGGAAGTGGGGCTTCCAGGCACTTCGTGCCTTCTAGCCCTGAAGATGTTTAGTATAAATGAAGTTTTTATTCGGAGGGCTTCCAGGCGCGTTGCGCCCTCTAGCCCACATAAATGAAGTTTTTATTCGGAGGTCTTCCAGGAGCTTTTCACAAATTATATATGTTTTCATGTTTTGTCAAGACTTCTTCGTAAATGTTTTGTCAAGACTTCTTCGTAAAATCAGACAAAAATATATTTTAGGGTAGAAGGGTATATCTAACCTCTTTTCTAACCTCTTTTCTACCCTCTTGAATTTTCATGAAATTTACACCAAAAATATATTTTAGGGTAGAAGGGTATATCTAACCTCTTTTCTAACCTCTTTTCTACCCTCTTGAATTTTCATGAAATTTACACCAAAAATATATTTTTAGGGTAGAAGGGTATATCTAACCTCTTTTCTAACCTCTTTTCTACCCTCTTGAATTTTCATGAAATTTACACCAAAAATATACTACTAGGGTCATTTACGAAGAAATCTCAACAAAGTCTTTACGATGAAGTCTTGACAAAGTCTTTACGAAGAAGTCTCAACAAAGTCTTTACGAAGAAGTCTTAACAAAGTCTTTACGAAGAAATTCATGAAAATTCAAGAGGGTAGAAAAGAGGTTAGAAAAGAGGTTAGATATACCCTTCTACCCTAAAATATATTTTTGGGTCATTTACGAAGAAGTCTTAACAAAGTCTTTACGAAGAAGTCTCAACAAAGTCTTTACGAAGAAATTCATGAAAATTCAAGAGGGTAGAAATGAGGTTAGAAAGAGGTTAGATATACCCTTCTACCCTAAAATATATTTTTGGGTCATTTACACTCATTTACGAAGAAATCTCAACAAAGTCTTTACGAAGAAGTCACAATAAAACGTCTGTCAAAAGCCGCTTTTTAACTTCACTTAAAATGCCACGTAAGCTACGTAAGAATATACGTAAGAGGAAGAGAGCATTGAAACATCCAATAGTAAAACTGACACCACAACAACAGTTGCAACAACAAATGCTGAATGACCCCACTATGTTGCAACAAATGTCAAGCAATCCTATGCTTTTAAACCGAGTTCTTGGTGCACAGAGTGGAGGTTTAAGAGCGGCACTTTTAGCGAAAATGGCAGGCTATGGTGGAGCTGCAGACGGAACAGCCTATAACCCTCAAAGTCAAATGAATTTGAGTTCACTCAAAAATCAAATAACAGATGTCAAAAAGTCAAACATAGACATACAGAAGCAAATAAGTGAAAACGAAAAGAAACTAGAATATGACAGACACACAAAGAAACTAAATGAGTTAAACGTAGAGAAAAAGAAGAAAGAAGAACAACTGAAAGAACTAAGTACAGAGGAATATGCGAAAAAAGTGTCAGAAAAAGCAGCAGAAGTAGCAAAAATGGAACAAGATGTTGTAAATTTGAAAAACCATACTACTCGATATAAAGTACTGAAAGATGAAGAGATAAACAAAAAGCCCTGAAGACATATATGGATAGCGATGAGTATAAAAAGGAAGTTGAAGCAAATGTAAAGGCAGAAAAACTTTTACAGTTGCAAAACCAAACCGTACAGTATGAAAACTTAGCACAAGAAAGTAAAAATAACGACGCGGCTATGCAAAAGGCAATGAAAAGCTCAGAATATATAAAAGCTAACAATGACTGGTTAGATGCCCAAGCCAACGCTAAAGCAGCCCAACTCATAGGGTCAATAAGGACAAAAATACAAGCGGATGAAGATAGTTCAAATGAAGCTTTAACAAATGCTGACTTTAAGAACGCTTTCGAAGCTCTTCATAGTAAGGTGAAACAAGTGAACGACTTCTCATCTGGAAAGAAACTGAAGTCTGAAGGTTTCGACAAAGAGTTAAAAGAAGTAGCACAAAATATGACGAAAATAACAGATGCAGCAACGAGACAGGCAGTTCAAAGTGCCTATGACGCCGTTAGAGCAACTGTTGTGAAAAGTCAAGAAAAAGAGTTACAACAGACCAAAACAGACCTAGTAAATGCTTTCTTAAAAACGAAAAGTCAGGTAGGACATTATGCTGCAGATGGAACATATGTGCCAGCTGGTGGAACTTATATACCACCAAACCCTCCAAGAGAAGCACCTGCACCAGGACTACCTAAAACATTTACATCGTCACATGGACATAGACACAGGCATGCACCAAAACCAACACAACAACCAACAGTTCAAAACCCTGCACAACAACAACAACAACAACAACCAACACAACAACCAACAGTTCAAAACCCTGCACAACAACCAACACAAACAGAGCAAGGACATAAAAGAAGTAGAGAACAAGGAAACCAAGAATTCTTAAAAATGCTTAAAGAAGAGTGTGGTTTCCCAGATACTGTTGACTTTAGTGACAGATATAAAGAAGCTATTAGAAAGTTCAAGGAAGGAAATACTGACCCGAACCTATTTAGCTTTATGGCTCAGCACCAAAACGGATATAATCTCAAACCTGGAAAATACAAGCTCGCTAAGGGATATGATTTAATAGCATATCATCCAAATGACATGAACGAATTTACTCCGAGATATTTGATGTCAGAGCTAAATGACAATTCAACTTTCGTCATGAAACGCGTAAAAAATAGAGACGGAACGAAAGAACAAAAGCTTATGAATGCGGATGACGTAGATAGGGAAATTGTTGAAAACGGTCTCGGAATATATGAAATGCCAGCAGATGAGGTACAAGAAACTCCACAGGAAGAAGTTCAGATACAACCAGACATGGAAGAAATAGTTCAGCAACAACAGCTAGAAGAGCCTGAAGGAAACGAACAAGTCACTCCTTTGGAAACTAACTTCACAGAACTAGATGAAGATTTGGAACAGCCGAAAAATCTTGACCCTCAACAAGAGCATGAGGTGAATATGGAATCTTTCCAAGAGTCTAAGAAAGATTCGGCTGACATAGTAGAAGAATATCGAAAAATGTTTGCCGACATACAAAAGACTCCAACACCAGATGAAAATATTCAGCATAGAATGGAAGAACTGAAAAAAAATGTACACAAATACAACAACCCTTTTTACTTACGAGCATTTAACGTTCAATCTTCGATGAACTGCGTGAAAATAAAAGGTTAAATTTCAAGAAAACATATAGAAATGAAACATTGTTTAAAGTTCATTCAGAACCTAACCAAGATGGAAACAAACCTACTTTTTGTTTCTGCAGACGATGGAACTACAATGAGATGGGGTTCATAAAGCTAACCCGGATAGGTGGTTCATAAACTTACAACCACAATTCCAAGAAGTTGTAGACGCAATGGAAGTGAATGGTGAACCAGATATAGCTGGTATTTTAAGCGCGGCTTTAATGCCATTGAAAGATATGAAAGATGCAGATATTTTGAACCAGTATGAAATGAACATGGCTGATGGAAATATAACACCTGACGTTCTAGAAACATTTATCTCAAAGAACTACACAGAACCATAAAGATGGTATATTTGGTGAAGAGTTTAGAAAGAAAGTTAGGGAGATAGAAGGAAGAGAACCTATTGTACATGACCTTGCAAACGAAAGTTTGCAAAATGTCATAAAAACTTACTTTGCAGACAATGAACCGAGAAGGGATGAATATTTAAGAAAACTCAAATGGACAGTACAAATGAAATGTTAGTATTGAAAAACATGTTCCTTGACAAAATAAAACCAACTACAGAAATAAACGACGCAAGACTGAAAGATTGGTAGAAGCTTTCCCATTCACAAAAGATATATTGGTAACATGGAAAGAAAACCAGAATGGCTACAAAAACATATATTTGGAAACGAGCATATTCCATATGGACAGGCACTGTTTGAAGAGCTTGAACCGGAAACTCAGGAAAGAGTCATGCAAACAATACGCGAAGACTCAAATACAGACTATGACAAACTCTTTCTAGGATATAGGTTACCTGAGATGGGCGACCAGAGTCCAAAGGCAAAAAGGACTGGAAATTTGCAACATACTAGATGAACATAATGCAAAGATGCAACAACTTCAAGCAGAGGGCAATGAAAGGAAAAAGAAGAGTTAAAAACTCAGTCAGGAAGAGAAGTAAAGCTTGGTCCACGTGGGTTCTATTATGACATATAAATCCAACTATTCTATATTTTTACTCATATGAAATGTTATGTACGCCGCTCAGAATATAACGCCAACAGTTTTGGATGCTATGAATGGAAATGTTTCCGAATGGTATAACCGAATGCGACAATGCCATTAGAAGGTCAGAAATAGTTCCTGGAACTTACGAATATACAACTGCTGTTTCTTATGGAAACGTAGGTGAGTTTGGAGAAGGTTCTTCAACAACAGTAGATATTGCTTGCGACAGGTTTCATATAATTTCTATTGACAACTCTTTCTTATACGTGGAACAAGACATTGAAATAAAACCTTCTGCCAAGTTGTCTGACAAGAAAGGTTGCAATGGAATTTTCTATGTCGGATACCAATATGCTCCAGAAGTTTTCATGGGATATAAGATATATTCTAACTCTGACTTAGTTCAAACAGTAACATGGGCAAACTATGAATGGTTCGCTTTGAGAAACTCAGTACAACCACAAGCTAGAGAACAAACAGACCAGTATGCAACTATTGAGAAAATAAGAAGACTTGACCCTAACGTTCCAGGAGTTTATGTTAACCTTTCTGGACAAACTGCAGCAGCAGTAACCAAAGTAAAACTGAAACTTAGAGTTCCTTTGTCATCTTTCCTCATCTTCAGGTTTTTAAGATACTTGCCAAACTGGGCAGGAAAAATTTCTATTGAACTTACTCCAAGCAAAAATAACTTAGTCATTGCACCAACACAAGACCCATTCACTCTTACAGAAGTAGTGGGAACAAATAAAATGTCATTCGCCGACTTTTGCAAAAACAAAGTTGACTTAGACTTTGGTTTCTCAAACCTCAACACTGAAGTAAACTATTATTTCAATGCTGCTGGAGATGCTTGGGACCCAGTTAAGTTTACATGCGAAAAATTTGAATGCAAGAGAATAGAAAGCAGACTTGCAGTCTATATGTTGGACCCAGATATTTCAAATGCTTTAGCTGCCAAATATATTGCAGTTCCACTTATGTTCCCTATACACCAAATATCTGTCAAAGACTTTGCAGGTGAAGTTGGAAACCAAAGTGCTGACCCAGGTGCAAGAACAGATATTGCTTTAACAACTGCAATGAAACATGCAGATACTATGTTTGTACTGTTCAGACGAACTATAAATGACTATTCTTGTTTCTACAACCCTGGTATTAAATATCATATAAACATAGATGGCAAATATTATCCAAGAGAAGAATATTCTACAGTTGAGGATATGAGGTCATACAACTTGACATTAGATGCTATGAACTTTAACAACAACTTCACAACAACCATTAACCCTGAAATGCAAAGTTCTATTATGCCATATGTGAAAGTATGGACCCATACAGGAGCTCAAAAAACTCAATATACAAATGGAGACCGTTCAAACTTTTGGCTTGGCATTCCATTTGCTGACTCAGAAGACTTTATGGTGGTATTTCAACTGTTGGTACTGTACAAATACAATATACTGGTGACAGAGACGGTCCAGATGAATTGAAAGCAAAGAAGTTTACAAAACCAATAGCACTTTTCACGGAAGATGCTCTTTTGAAAATTCGTTCGATGAAACCTGCTGGGGCTCCTCAGATTGGCATAACGACAGCTTCCATCGAGCAGATTTTGGCAGCAGGTCAGTAAGTTGTTCTTGAACTGACTTCTCTCCGTCAAATATTGACAGTACGCCAGTTTTGACATAATATTGTATTATAAACTTACCTTTAGAAATATCTGTAAGTTTTGTTGTTATATTTTTGTCTGCTTCAAGAACTTTCACCATTTCGGTTATACCAACTTTCTTTGCTTTATGAAAATATTTTGGTTCAGCAAATATTGCTATTCTATAACATTTTCCATTGTTTGTATAAAGAACTATTCTGTCAATGTATTTGTATTGTTTGTGTGTGTAAACTTTGTTTTGCTTCAATTCGAAGAGATACTCAAATACGTCCATCTTTTTATTTGAAGTAAAATGTCATTTCCGAAAAATAGAAGCGTAAGTGTTTCAAAAGGTTTAATGGCGGTGGCAGATGTGAAGTTAAATTCACCAACTCAAACAAACAGTCAAAGTGTTGTTGTCAATGTCAAAGAAAGAGATGTTGAAGTGGGGAAACCATACGAAGACCAAGATGGTATAACAATAGTTCCTGTAAAAGAACAACCAACATACCCTGAAGTTAGCAGAGACTTAAGTTCTGTTGCAGATATTCGAAACGACTACCAACAACTTAAAGACAAACTTAAAACTCAGGAGAAAGATTTGTCAAGCTTTGGGTATAATGTTAAACTTGGTCGAACACAACCCTGTAAAAGTGAACTCATATGTCATCGCACCTCGTGAAGTTTTGAAAGAACTATTGAAACTTTTGACAGAGGCAGACGATATAAACATCAAAGAAATAGAACCCGACATTGCTTGCTGTGGTGTTTCATATAATGTCATTGACAAGATATACGTTATGAAAGGAGGTGAAACGTTGAACTTAAAATATAGTTTCCCAGACGTCATAAAAATATTTGACGACACAACATTTCATTAAAATTTAGTTGCTAAGTAAATGGCAGAAGACATAGTGGTTTATACTATTACGACTAAAAACCCTGAGTCATATAATTCTATAACAACAAACTTACAAAGTCCTCAAGGACGATATTGTAAACTGACCTTAAACACGATGACGACTAAAGCCTGTTTTGCTCTTTTGACACCAGAAGATTTTATTGTTGTGAATGGTAAAAAATACTCCTTTGAAGATACTTACTCAGATATACCACCAACAGGTTTTGTTGACTTATTTAATACTTTAAGGACGGATGTAACATGTGCTGCAACTAGAGCAGGTTTCATTATGTTTGGATGTCCGACTGAGTTTAGTATAAACGATATGAGCTATAATACAAAACTTATATCTGGTTTTACTACCAACAGTTTCCTATAACAGGAAAAGGTGTCATACAAGGTTTGTCTATTCCATTGACATTAAGCACACCAATTTATATATTGTTTCAAACTTAGGTTCAAAGTGTTATTCGAATGTCGACAGAAACTACTATGACCAAAAGATACTTATGCGTATAAACAACACTTTCTCTGCTGGTTTGCCTATTGTTCATTCGAATGCAGAATTTCAACCTTAGTGAACTCAAACACTTTAGCAAACATAAACTTAACCTTAGTTGACGCAAACTTTGTTCCTGTAAAACTTTTATGTCCTATGTATTTGTCAATGACGGCAGAAAGTTTCGAATTGGAAGATGCAACTGTGAAAGTATTGTAAGAACAACTTCAACAACAAATAGCTCAAGAACAACAAATGCAACAAATAGCTCAAGACAACAAATAGCTCAAGAATAAAAAAATATTTTTTTTTATTTTTATAAAAATGTAAACATAGACGTTTTCAGATTTTTATGACTTCCAAGCGTTCAGAAATATGTGTCCATTTAGAGACTATAAACAAAGCAGATCGAGAATTTTGAAACGTTTATAAAACCAACTACAGAAATAAACGACGCAAGATGAAGATTGGGTAGAAGCTTTCCCATCACAAAAGATATATTGGTAACATGGAAAGAAAACAGAATGGCTACAAAAACATATATTTGGAAACGAGCATATTCCATATGGACAGGCACTGTTTGAAGAGCTTGAACCGGAAACTCAGGAAAGAGTCTGCAAACAATACGCGAAGACTCAAATACAGACTATGACAAACTCTTTCTAGATATAGGTTACCTGAGATGGGCGACCAGAGTCCAAAGGCAAAAAGGACATGGGAATTTGCAACATACTAGATGAACATATGCAAAGATGCAACAACTTCAAGCAGAGGGAATGAAGGAAAAAGAAGAGTTAAAAACTCAGTCAGGAAAAAGTAAAGCTTGGTCCACGTGGGTTCTATTATGACATATAAATCCACTATTCTTATTTTTATCTATGAATGTTACGCCGCTCAGAATATAACGCCAACAGTTTGGATGCTATGAATGGAATGTTCCGAATGGTATATAACGAATGCGACATGCAATCTGAGAAGGTCAGAAATAGTTCCTGGAACTTACGAATATACAACTGCTGTTTCTTATGGAAACGTAGGTGAGTTGGGAGAAGGTTCTTCAACAACAGTAGTATTGCTTGCGACAGGTTTCATATAATTTCTATTGACACTCTTTCTTATACGTGGAACAGAATTGAAATAAACCTTCTGCCAAGTTGTCTGCAAGAAAGGTTGCAATGGAATTTTCTATGTCGGTACCAATATGCTCCAGAAGTTTTCATGGGATATAAGATATATTCTAATCTGACTTGTTCAAACAGTAACATGGCAAACTATGAATGGTTCGCTTTGAGAAATCTCAGTACAACCACAGCTAGAGACAACACGAACCAGTATGCAACTATTGAGAAAATAAGAAGACTTGACCCTAACGTTCCAGGAGTTTATGTTAACCTTTCTGGACAAACTGCAGCAGCAGTAACCAAAGTAAAAACTGAACTTTGAGTTCTTTGTCATCTTTCCTCATCTTCAGGTTTTTAAGATACTTGCCAAACTGGGCAGGAAAAATTTCTATTGAACTTACTCCAGCAAAAATAACTTAGTCATTGCACCAACACAAGACACATTCACTCTTACAGAAGTAGTGGGACAAATAAAATGTCATTCGCCGACTTTTGCAAAAACAAAGTTGACTTAGACTTTGGTTTCTCAAACCTCAACCTGAAGTAAACTATTATTCTCAATGCTGCTGGAGATGCTTGGGACCCAGTTAAGTTACATGCGAAAATTTGAATGCAAGAGAAAGAAAAGACTTGCAGTCTATATGTTGGACCAGATATTTCAAATGCTTTTAATGCCAAATATATTTGCAGTTCACTTATGTTCAGATGTCAAAAAGTCAAAACATAGACATACCAGAAGCAAATAAGTGAAAACGATAAGAAACTAGAATATGACAGACACACAAAGAAACTAAATGAGTTAAACGTAGAGAAATAAGAAGAAAGTAAGAACAACTGAAGAACTAAGTAAGAGGAATATGCGAAAAAGTGTCAGAAAAAGCAGCAGAAGTAGCAAAAATGGATAAAGATGTTTGTAAATTTGGAAAAACCATACGCTACTCGATATAAAGTACTGAATAGATGAAGAAGATAAAACAAAAAGGCCCTGAAGACATATATGGATAGCGATGAGTATAAAAAGGAGTTGAAGCAAATGTAAAGGCAGAAAAACTTTACAGTTGCAAAACCAAACGTACAGTAGAAAACTTAGCACAAGAAAGTAAAAATAACGACGGCGGTATGCAAAGGCAATGAAAGCGTCAGAATATATAAAAGCTAACAATGACTGGTTAGATGCCCAAGCCACGCTAAGCAGCCCAACTCATAGGGTCAATAAGGAACAAAAACAAGCGGATGAAGATAGTTCAAATGAAAGCTTTAACAAATGCTGACTTTAAGACGGCTTCGAGAGCTCTTCATAGTAAGGTGAAACAAGTGAACGACTTCTCATCTGGAAAGAAACTGAAGTCTGAAGGTTTCGACAAGAGTTAAAAGAAGTAGCACAAAATATGACGAAAATAACAGATGCAGCAACGAGACAGGCAGTTCAAAGTGCCTATGACGCCGTTAGAGCAACTGTTGTGAAAAGTCAAGAAAAAGAGTTACAACAGACCAAAACAGACCTAGTAAATGCTTTCTTAAAAAACGAAAAGTCAGGTAGGACATTATGCTGACAGATGGAACATATGTGCCAGCTGTGGAACTTATATACACAAACCCTCCAAAGAGAAGCACCTGAACCAGGACTACCTAAAACATTTACACATCGTCACATGGACATAGACACAGGCATGCACCAAAACCCAACACAACACAACACCACACAACAACCAACATTACAACAACACAACAACAACAACAGCAAAACCCTCAACACATAAACAACACAAAAGAGCAAGGACATAAAAGAAGTAGAGAACAAGGAAACGCAAGAATTCTAAAAAATGCTTAAAGAAGATGTGGTTTCCCAGATACTGTTGACTTTAGTGACAGATATAAAGAAGCTATTAGAAAGTTCAAGGAAGGAAATACTGACCCGACCTATTTAGTTTATGGCTCAGCACCAAAACGGATATAATCTCAAACGCTGGAAAATACAAGCTCGCTAAGGGATATGATTTAATAGCATATCATCCAAATGACATGACGATTTTACTCCGAGAATATTTTGATGGTTCAGAGCTAAATGACAATTCAACTTTCGTCCATGAAAACGCGTAAAAAATAGAGACGGAACGAAAGAACAAAAGCTTATGAATGCGGATGACGTAGATAGGGAAGATTGTTGAAAACGGTCTCGGAATATATGAATGCCAGCAGATGAGGTACAAGAAACTCACAGGAAGAAGTTCAGATA